AAATTAGGCTTTTATCCGACCTCATTGTCACCATTGCCTCATGAAGCATGCACAAATAGGTCAGATTAAATTTACCTTATAAGGAGCGCTAAGGTATACAGTCCAACAGCTAGATCTTTGTTATACTATAAATTGTCTGGACAATATTTAACTAGCCTTATTTGGAATCCTGGCCTTTTAGATGTTGTGCTTTCGATTGCTTGGGCTAGTCTCCAGCTAATTCGTTATAGGACAGGTTTGGATAAGCTTTAATTCTTTACCAGAGGTTTGTTTTACATTACTTCAGAAATTTTGCCTTTAACGTCTTAAACTTGATTACGTCACTTTGAGCAGCAATGGAGAGTGTGTCCATAGACTCCAGTGAAGGTGTTGTCATAGCATATACAAAAAAGCCTCTTCTTAGGACCTCTTCTTGCTTCTTGTATTCAGCGCTGATAAGGAAATTGTTAGAAACCTTACTGCTTTCACAGAGTTTAGTATCACTATTCCTCTGCTCTAGAGGCAAAGGTGCTATGATTTTGTAGATGTCATCGGAATAATATGCGCAAGTGCCATTTGGTAATAAATGACTGCATCAGTGAAAGCTGACATTTCATGGGTAAATAGTTTTATAAATAAAGGAAGTGGAGGCACGGATGTCGGGTTTATTGAACAGCAATATGAAACCCTACAAAGGTGGGTGCAAAGATGAAGCGTACATACCGGCCGCAGAAGATAGACCACTGGCGATAGAATATGCAGAGACCACCCGTAAGGAAAACACCGGTAACGGTGCTCAAAAAGATGAGGGACAATATATTGAGTGTTTACCTGAATACAACTCTTAGGTGAGAAGCGTTCGGCTGGCACAAATTTCAGGACAGGGCAGTCATCATTGATCATTCGGTTAGAAGTGTGTTTTGAAAGTGGTTTCCTTGATCTCCGTTCCCAGATCAATGTACCACGAATGAAAAATGTTTCCGCCTAGTCAGTAAACGTTTAAGGTGAAACAGAAAAATACAGAACTTTCCGCCCTCTAAGCTATTCAACTTATGACAAGCACAAATTACCGTCTGTTTTGCAGCTAACGAGTTGATGGTATCCTGCATTTTCTTGAAGCACTCGTGAGATACCCAAGACAGGATGAAATGCTACATTTTTTGTTTAGCACTTAATCAAGCTAGTTCATCTTTGTCTCAGCAAATATTTTGAGTAGTGAATATGGTGAGAGGCATCGAGTGGGAAGGAGTTGATAGGGCAATGTGTTGTAATAGCAATTGTTCATGTACATGTCAGCCTGATGATAAACAAGACAAATATTTGAAAGTCAGACGAATAAGAGGTACAAAGCGGCATAAGGATGTGTTACGGAAAAGCAGATGAGAGCTCGAAGTCTAGGGCTGTTTGGCAACTAGGCGCATTAACTAGAAATAGCCAAAAGTCGAAACAGGCATGTTTTTTGGCGTTGCGGATAGCCGCAGCACACAGAAATCCCGTCTATTAACGAAAATCAGTCAAATGCAAATTAATTTCTCCACTTGCATTAGGAACAGTATATTTAACAAGAATCTCACGCTTAATTTTTATGCCGTAGTTGCTTTCTTGCGAAAAGTCTGTGCTGTTGGAATTCGTCTGATGTGATTGTTAACGTTTACTGGCACTTAGTAAGTAGCACTCCCAAGTTTTGCGGCATGTCTTGATCTCAACATCCTTCTTCGACTTTTTGTAGTGCACTGTATTAACTACCGATAAAATTGGTTCCTCTTCGCTCATACTAGACTAATAACGAGTAGTTGATGGAGAAGCAGATTTTCCATTTCGTCGACACGTATGGTGACATGAATGGCTATTGCTGCGAACTCGTCCCTAGAAGAGGACGCATTTGCTGTGATCGAGAGGTATTTTATCCATTTCAGTAGCCTCAAAGGTCACAACGGCATCACCAACCATGACGGACTTTCCTACATCGATTTTTACCGAGTACCATTCTTATTCAGGTGACCCACATCTGACCTACATTTGCACGTCTACACACCGATGCACCTATTGTATAACGATCCCTCAATTTGGTTACTCTTATGCTCGTCTCCTTTGTCTAGCTTACAAACATATGCTTGTGATCAGCTCTGTCCAAGAGCGTTGTAACTAAGGGGCGAAGATAGGAGGGAAGTGGGAATAGGTCGATATGTAGGATATTGATCATGGCTGCTTCTGCTGCTGACTAACTGTTCGATGCATGTTGGCATGCACGCAAGGGAGGTCTTACGGCATATAACACTCCATTAGCTGGCGGTACAGTCAGGCGCAGAAAAGAGAAGGGTTGATCTCCCTCATCTCCTTACTATAATAGAAGTGCACCCACACATAATGTCAACATGTAAGGAATGAAAAGGAGAGCACAACACTTGGCCATGAAATAAGTTACTGCTTGCCATAAAAGCCAGCAATGCGCGCTGAATAAGAAAAGTTTTACAAGGCAGGGCACATAGATGACTGTTCGATTTACTGGTCTTTTAATGCTTCGCCTACTACTGTGTACTGTCTCTGTCATCGTCACTACTTCCATGAAGTTATACTGGTGGCCAACACACTCTAACCGGCACCAGTTTTAGTCGTGGCCAATTGAAACACCTATGGCAGCGCAGCCTATGCTAAGGTGCAATCTACCGTAATATGTTGTTTGTCTGGACGCACTACATCCAGAATGGAACCGGTCTTTGCCTTGGGCCTTGGACATTTAAATGCCAAAAGTTGAGGCTCGAAAATTGATGCATTTAATTACCACTGTGTAGACTGCTACTCAGATAATATCATGAATGGTGAGTGGGTGAGATTGTTCTCTTGCTAATCTTTGATTCATTCCGATGGTGTTTACCACAGGGAGTAAACAGGGCTGGTCAAAAGTACCTTAAAGATAAACAAGGACGAGTGCAGTTCATTCTGTAAATACACGCGCCCACGGAGTGATGCATGCCGCAAACGTGTAAAATCACAAAGTGGACATGCAGGAATCGATAAGTGCCTTATGACAGCAATTTCGCTGAACATGTCTCCAGCAGCTAATCTGACGCAAAAAGTCATTACATGTGCTAGGGGAGGGTTTTAGTTTTAAACCAATTCACAGTGTGTATGTGTGTGGGTGTAGAAGGGAGTGCAGGTAGACAAGCAAAATTGTGGAACACGTGCAACGAGGCAGAAGGAGAGGAAGCTTTGGAGAGGGAGGTAGATGAAGGTAGTGGTGGGTATATGCACCTTGGACTGCGTGACTTAGTTCAACAAGACACGACACAGAGTGAGGGGAAGGCGAGGGATAGCGGAGAAGTAAAGATATGCGAGGCAAGACACCACTGTCTTGATGGTCTAGTGGTCGCCATACTGTTAACCCATTTTGCCAATTCCATAGAGTTGTGTGCAGAGGGGCGTCCGATTGTTCCACTTTTCATGCAGTTGTAAAGTCTATGGGAGATGTTGTGGCCCGCTAAGCCACCGAAATGTGAGAGGAGAGTGTTTTCGATCCATAGAACTCTCCGTAATGGGCTAACGCGCTTCCACTAGGCCACTCTGCTACCACCGCTCACCACTCAGACTCCACTAAAGTAGGCAGTCAACAGCTAGTTCGGTGTAAACGAGGCATATGCCAGAGGGGAGCATTATATATCACATCAAGTCGAGAGGTGCGTGAAGGAGAATGGCTACTATCAGACGGTGGGACGGAGATAGGTAGAGATAGGCAGGCAGACAGCAAGACTTTCGAGAGACGTGATGTGAGTTGAGGAAATAGTGGCCATGCCTCTGAGCAGTAAAATTTGAGGGGTTTGGAAGAAACAAAAAAACCCTAGGAGATAATGCCTTCATATTGCACGGAACAGTACACCAGCATCATACTAAGGGTGGAAAACCCATTTAAGGAGCGTCACACGAGTTCCCAAATTTTGACCTTAATTTGCTTTGACTGAACAATGAGGTCACTGTCCCATCTAAGAAACGACTTTCAAGTCCTTCATCATGACCATCTGATTGCTACATCTACTTCCATTATCACGTACGTGTAAATAAATTCTGCTATTTGATCAAGGCTTCACACATAGGTGACATGATCATATTGTAGGTTTTGTGTAATAATTGGAGCAGCCCACACAATTAACCACAACTGGTGTCACTATTTTAACAAGGCAGTGGCTGGGGTATTGCGATGGATTCTCCTTTCAGGCAGATAAGCCTCAGATGCAAACGCAGTAAACAGTGCTTCTAGAGCTGCTATCTTGTGTTTTGCCTTTCAACTCTTTTGCTTTTCTTGGTGAGGAATCAAGGGAACTCAGGTCCCGGAAGCTGATTTGTTCTCCTATTTGACTTCATTAACATGTGTGACTCAAAAAACAAGCGCAAATAATCGAAGCTTCATTAAACCGGACGCGTTGAGTCCTGCCTAAAGTATCTTTATTTTGGACTCTACAATTATTTGACCGGGCAGTGTTTTGTTAGTGTACTTGTAAAAATGCCTTTTTACTGGTGCGCTTCAGATTTCTCTCACTGGCCACCTACTGCACCATTGAGTGACCGATATGGATATGATTCATGTCATTACAATCTTCTCATGGCCCCTCTTTCTAGATTCATTTGAAGCCAAACTTTAAAAAGAGATCAAAGGAACACGTGGAAGAGCACTTCATCATTTTTCCTGCTCTCTTTAAAACACTAGCCTAAACGTATAACATCATGTAGAGATGACATCGTGGAGCGAGGTAGCCCAAGGGATGTGGCAGGAACGGCCGAAAGCAGCTCTTGAGAAACAGGCTATACTGTAACTAGGTGGTTTTAGGTAGATTAGGTGCCTATTAGTCACAGACTAGACTTAAACATTTCTTTTAGAATTACATGAGCAACTAGGTTGCGTATGCAAAAAAGAATATGTTAAGCTATTAGAGCGTATTTCGCTTATTCCACCATCAATTACTTCGGAGCGCAGCTGGATCCACAGATCAAAAAACTTCCGACAACCAAAAAAAGTGGACCTGTAGAAGGGGCCAAAAATTAGGCTATCCATATTTTCTGGACTATATATGGAAGTTTTAAAAAGCACACAATTAGAAAATGTGGATTTCGGAATCCACCGTGCCCAATTTATGAATAATAATAAATTAATTAAGAAAGCACCGGAACTGTAGGCTATAAAATCTGTAGATGCAATCCTATAAAGGTGGACAAATTAATGAGAAGGCAACACGTAAGTCAGGAGAGTTAGTTTTTGACCATTAGGTTTAGCTGAGAAGAGGATGAGGGATGGAAGACTCCAAGAAACACCGATTTCCCAACATGAGGATTCTGACTAGTCACTTCCCCGCTACGAAGAACCTTTGCCAAGACTTCTGACAGGGAGCAGGCAAGTAAAATATCAGTCATTTGATATCAATCCTCATAACGCAAGGACTGAGAAGAGAGTTCAGATGGTCATATGCCATTCTTGAAAGTGAAACTGTGAACTCAGTGTTGCTCTACTGAGGCGGACTGATTGCCTTAATGATTAAAAATGACGTGAGTAGTATCCCGTCAATACAAATTATCACAGCAGGTGCGTCCTCTTCTCGGGACGAGTTCGTAACACCAGTTATTCATTTGACCATACGTGTCAGCGAAAAGGAAAATTTGCCTTCTTAATAGCTTTTCATTGCCATCCTAATATGAAAGACCCGCAGAGCGTTTGTGCATCTGCGTAAGTCAGATGAGACAAAATGGACTCTATAACTTTCAGATATAAATCAGAGTTACTTCGGTATATTTCTATTTGAATCTAAACATTCATTTCAAATAGTTCATAATGAATTCACCATTAACAAAAATACGTTTTCTGTTCATTTTAAACGAAAAATATTGCGCGAAATCTGCGCATATGGTCTAACGCCGGAAATGGGAGATCAACTTAGAAACTCGATCAAATTTGCTTAATAGTGTACTAAGGCCTGGAGACCTTTTTTAAAATTTAGCACTGCGGTCTTTTTCCCTGAAGTGGAACCACATGTGACTCTGTTCTTACAAATTTATCCTTTGGCAAGCATTATGGTTATATATTCTCGAAGAATTTATCTTAGTGTTTGAAAATGATCATAAGATGATATTGAACACATTTATAAAATTGGCCAGCACGACCATTAGGACTGGAAGTAGTTGATGTGTGGGTGAAATTATAATATGAAATACTGAAGTTTAGATGAGGCAGATGTATCAGCATTTTAAACGTATTAAACATTCAGGGGTAAAAACTAATAAGGATGCATAGTAGCCAGTCACACGAGAGATAAGAAAAAAGTATGTCATAATCGTAGCCTTTTATCATAAGGTTTGCATTAATATTACTGGACTACGAAAAGAAACAAGGTGAGAAGAAAATTTGTTAGATATCTCCCAACATTGCGGATTTGAATAGGTAGAGTGTGAATAGTTACGAAGGTCATCCGATATGTTATTGCTTACGGCGTTACCTACAGTCTTTAGTAATCCAATCAGATCGCGACTTAATTCGCATATAAACAGGTATCACAGCCAAGCCTCATGCTGGATTTTACAATGAGCCACCCACCGCGTAGGTCATTGTAGCATATTCAACATGTATGCCTATTTTACTATATTTTTCACCCCTTAACGTATAGGCCATTTATAACTTACTCCCGATATCGCAGCTATATTAATTTTACATCAATGAAGTAGCGGTCGTCAATTATCACTTACCAATGTTAGAAAGTCTGGTTACCAATAAAATCATTAAATTTTACGCTTGCAAGAAAATGACAGTTAAACTCGTGACTTTTATTCTTTAAAAGAATGGTTGGTAAGTATAAATGACACTGCTAGTACTTTACAAAGTTTTGGACTTCAAAAACTGGCTTACTATTAACACAGAAGCAATCCAGCCACACTAGCTGCAACCCAGAGCATAAGTTTGCTTGCCTTATAGTCTGCTTTCTTAATTGCGTGAAGCTGTGATATCCAGGACTACGCTAGTGAATGTGATGGTCATTTGATCATGCTAGATCGATAAATGTTAAGCGATTATGGTAAACTTAATAAGCTTTTGTTTAGCAGCGGATTGCCCTGTCCACCATTCCCTGCAACCCTTTGCCAAACTGATAGGCGAATGGGAGGGACAGGGTTCAGTCAGTATCTACACCCGAACCACCTATCCATGTTCCGAGAACATATCAATCGGTCACATCGGACAGCCGTCATTTTGGTACAGGTAAGCAGAACATTTTTGTGGATCTGGCTACCTGAAAGCCCTGTCCGAGCTGTGATCTGTGATGTGGTTTTAATGCGGTTGAAAGTTCTGCTCTTAGAGCCATCAAAGTGTCAGCATGAGCACATATACAAAGTTAGTGAAAGAATTAAACACACCAACTTTCCTCTTTTTTAAAAAAAAATTTATAAGAAGTTTACTTAACGAAACTGAGTAGTAAAGTCACGTAAACCTTACCAGATATCGAATTGCATGGGCGAAGAAAGTTTTGGTGGGTGATTGCCAACTCTACACAACCTGGGAGAATTTGATAAACTCAGACAGTGTTGAAAATTCGCAGCTGTAATATTTAAGTATTCATGAAATGAAGGCGAGAAGATAATCTAGAGCTGAATTTTATCTCAGCTACCATTTCATTTTGCGGTTTGGCGCCATCTTTGAATGTCAATTAAATAATGAAGCACTTAGTTAAAATGAATTATGGCTTTCCTAAAACATATTTCTCTAGCATTCTAAAACAATAAGAAGCAAATTTCATCAAAAGTTAGGGTTACCGGGCCTCAGAATCCTTTTATACTCTATCCCATTCAGTCATTCTCTGATGACTGAATGCAAATAATCCACAAATTGCTGTTCTATATTGTAAGTAAGCAATATGTAGGTCATTAGCTAACCACAACTATTAATCATAATTGCAGTGCTCGTAGTTGTACAGGAAATATGGCAACTCTCGTTATATAATTTTAGCATTCGAAATAAAAGCACACTTTCAACAGTCTCTCTAAACAAACATCTTTGCTCCATCTTCGCATTTTTGATCAAAATTAAAAGTAATTTCTGTTTAAAAATGAATTTAGCAAATTTTTCGTAGTTTCATATGCACTCATACAATTGCATTTAGTTTATTCTTACACTACGTCAGGCGATTCGCCTGTATTGTTTGATAATACGATTGAAGGGTGCTTCGTTTGGCCAACAAAAGGGTCCGTGAATTAGAGCAACTTAGGGTATTAAAGTCTCCATTTTGCTTCCTGAATCAGTACAAGGACTGCTTGGTAGCTAATGCTCCTTCGTTTACTTATACCAAATATGTGCCTCTTCTTTGGTGCATTAGTTCTAAATAAAACACCTCTTTCCTTAATGCACAGCTCGAGAGCCTACTCCAGAGAAGCATTCAGGCACCGTGACATGGGCTTCATTTTCTTCAATGAGGAAACAGACCAAATGTACTTTATGTGCAGTGACAATACAGGCAATTTTATGAGTCAAATTATGATAAAACTGGCAAGAAGCCATTCGATGACCACATCCATTTTCCTTTTTAGGTCATGTTCACATATTAGCGGGGCGGGCTAAGAACGAGGATGGAAAAATACAAATTGTTCTGGAAACAGAGCTTACTGAAGGTCATCCACTTCCAAAGAAATCAAAAATGATTCGACTGAGATTTAGCTCTGCATATCTTATGGGAGGTAAAACAATCTGAAGGGGCGTCCTTTTCAGCTACTTCCAGTGAACCTAGGATTTGTGATGTGCCAGGACTTCTTAGAACTCTACTAGATGGCTACACTAACAGTGACATAACCCTAATGAGACGCCCTTCGCACAATTTTTAAGACTTTTAGGAGTAATGTACTACTCTTTGTTCGGCTCTCTCATCGCACTCCCCCAAACAATGGTGTGTATAAGATTTTGTTTTGGGGCTAAAACTCCGGGTTGTGAAAAAATGCAAGTGGATAGCAGATATGTACATAGGCCAATACTGAGTGCAGGTATTATACTTTGTGCAAGATGATAAATGAACCCACTGAATGCAGTAAGCAGTCGGAACCTCGTCTCTGAAAAAGTAGATATGGGATGACCGAAAAATTGGTGGAAACCGCTATTCACATTTTGAACTGCCTATGATGATAATGTAAC